CCTTTTTTTCTTTTCACATGTTACCTATCTATCACGCAAAGTAATTTTTCTTTTAAGGTTGAAAAATACTTTTATGTATCAGAAAATTTTCCAATTTCACATGCCAAATCTTTATAATGTCTAGATAATTATCAAACATTTCCTAAGAAAAAACTTTATATTTTATCTATTATTTTCAGTAATTAATCTCTGTACTGGTTCAGTAGATTTGACCGATGTTGCAACCACCATAAAAATTTGGGAATAATATCAATGATGCCTCTTTCATTCTAGAATGAACAGAAATTATAACATGAAGACAAAAATGTTAAGACTAAATAGATTAAATCTGATAACATTACATATTTATTATTTTAATTATATTGACCTTTCAGCCGTGCTTGGCTAACAATAGAGAAGTTACAATGATGTGGCACACGTGCACTCATGTTACCATAACAAATAACATAAAATTGAACTTTGGTCAGTTCTGAGTAACTTGTCTTGGCTGTGTATTAGTAGACTAGTATTTTGAAAATTAGTCAATTATCATACATTATATATGTATATAGATTATTCCTATTTTGAAATACGTTCTTAAACTTATTTTTCTTAAAGCATAAAACAGCAAATAAAGAAGTAAAGCAATCAATTATCTCTTCTAGTTATGATCTTTGTACTCGGTTGCTGTTTGATATAAATTGCTAAGCCTTTAAAAATTGTGCACGTGGAGGATATGAAAGGTTTTATATATGCATTTGAATAACTAAAAAATAATGCATTACAACATCAATACCTTAGAATTCCACTCTGAAATTTTGAGCATATCCTACCTTCTTGAAATCTTGGTTCCAAAAAAGAAATAGTGTCCTAAGAATTCTGAGCTTCTGACTGGTTATTCATGACATATATATAGAAGTAAGTGTATATAAGGGAGTGTTTGATTTATTACATTAGCAATATCTTAGCAAATAGAAAGATAAGACCTTGTTTTATATTCTAGCTTGTCAATATCGGTAATTTGAGTTTCTAATTCATACGAAACTGTAGACTTAGTATTTTGACATCATAAACATCTAATTTGAACCAGTTCTGCATTCAACATACAACAAATTTTAGAACTATACATTACTACATTTCCTAATTTAAAGATAAACATCAATATTGTGTATTATGAACTCAACATTCATGAACCAAACTTGTAGAACAATCATAAACATAAACAGACAATTCACTAATACACTCATAGTTAATATAAATATGTTGATTAATGAGGGCCAACAAAGCATCAATGAGATTCTTTTACCCACATAGTCAGCCCAAATATGTTGTTCAATCACAGCCAACTAAGCAACAAAGGGGGTTTCCTTGTCGAATAGGCAATAAGGTCTCAATTAAAGAAGCTTCCAAAACAGCCAATAAGTCACATGCAAGATGGGAATGCGGTGAATATGGGGTCATTTTAGCCTGATTCTCAGGTGATGGTATACAACAAGATTACAAATGTGTGACAAATTCATGTTTTCGACATCAAATACCAAAATAACTGATAGAATGCAGCCTAATTATACTTATTGACATAAATCCTCAAGACAGGAAATTAAAATATTTATAGAATAAGAAATTTCCAATTACCCGCTCGAGACGGGTTACAGGTGAAAGGTCGTGTCATCTTATTTGTTGATTCACATTAAAAATTTTATTGAATTACTATTTCATGAATTTATGTCAATAAGTTCGGTATCAAACTGTAGATTATAATTCACTTTTGGTTCTCTCAGTGTTATTTATAACTCAAGTCAGTGCCAATATAGTGGAACATTGCCCTTATTCACCTTGTAAATAAGCCTGGTCTTTTCCCAAATTCTCGTTGTCTTGCATTTCCGAGGAACAGGAATTATAAACTGACCCTATTTTCATGGCACTAGTTTATCACTCAGGTGTTTGTTAATACAGATATTGAGCATATTTCTGTAA